CCGAAAGAGCCGGTTCTCTAAAAAGAGCCGGAAATCCCATCACTAGTACTGAGCCCTTAAAGGTAGTGATGATGTGTTGTCAGGACAATCTGGGTAAAAACTGGCTGTTATGAACGCACTGCGCCATGTCCAGGCACATACAACTTCATAAAAATGATTCCAGGCTTTAAAATGAAAACAAAAATAGGTGTTTGAACAAATGTTTTATCACTGCTTTAGAAACAGCATTTGTCTATATTAACATGGCAGAAAATGAATCAGGTTGGTCACCCATATGTTTAGTGGACATGCTTGTGTCAAAAAGAGGATGAAAAGCAAAGGTCAGAAACAGAATACCAGAGATTTCTTTACTTCAAGATGTTTAATGGTTAGTAAATGCAAGAAAATAAAATAAAGCAGAAATCACAGACTGTGAGATGCTGCTGGACTTGGTAGACTATAAAGTTAAAAGATATGTGGGAATAAGATAATCAAGAATCTAACACGGGCACTGGAGTCATAAAGTGTCCGTTTCTGACTGTTCTAACTAAAACACATTCCGTGAACACACATTTTCTAAAGATATAAACATATTACAGTGGAAATTGACAGTGTAGATGCTTGGCTTAAGTATTTTAAGGTGAAAAGATGTCTGAGGATGTACTTTTACCTGCAAAACTATTTGAGACGTCCAGAACTTTTTTCTGCCACGACCCCAGGAGGACACCGACCACTCGTTTCTGATTTCCCACTTTTCCTATCCTGTAGATTCAAGAATTTAAAAAAGAAACGAGCAGAGGAAGCTGTTATCGTCACAGATTTCTGTAAAAATGTAATCAATGGAGCCCATACAGTCTGACTCGTTAGCTAACCTGTAAGCTAAGCTAGAGTCAGTGCACAGCTCAGTCATGTTTAATGACACCAGATCAAACTGTTCGGGTATGTGGATTAGTTTGTAGAAATGCTAATGAATAACACTCTTTTGCGGATTCATTTACAGCTCATACAGTACATTGACACTTTCAGAAGCTAACTAGCTAACGGCACTCTGACTCAGCATGGCTAACCTTAGCTTAGCCTAGCTGCGGCGTCACACTTCAGGACACTTTGGAGTCCAATATTGATAATAAGACGGAACTTAAATACAGATCTCACTGACCTGTTGAAATGATCCACCACGCTGAGCAACACAAGGGGGTGAACGACCACATTTTCCACCGCTAACTCCGGCATTTTCGCAGGCAGGATAAACAGAACACAACACACCTCCACACAATGACGGCTATGCTACACTTCCGCTCGCTCCTGACGTCTCTTCCGTTTCTCTTGGCAACAGAGAGACCGTAGAGACGCACAAAAAAGAGCAAGAAGGCAATTGAACACCGACGAAATGGTACGACTTTATGAACAACTTTTAATTCAATTCAATTCAGTTTTGTTTATATAGCGTCAAATCACAACAACAGAAGCCTCAAGGCGCTTAAAGTTATCATTACTACATAATGATAACTTTAATTATGTTTATGTTTACCAAACAAGGTGAACAATACATCAACCTGCCAGTACTTACTGGCTACCGTTATTTTTAAGGGTATAAAAGTATTACAGCAGGTTTACAACCCGAAATGATACAAACCACTATCAAATAACCACTCAAAGTAGAAGTCTTGGCTTTATATTTAATTTTTTGTTCATTTTCATTCATGTTCATTTATTATGTTATATTTTTATTTTCTCTTTACTACATTTCAGTAATATTATACGAAACTAATCACACAATCACGATGGATTATGAACTATATAAGACAGAAAGCCTTAGTATTTGTTCTGTCATTTGATTCTAGCAAGCTACACTTAGTATCTGAAAATGAATGACACTTCCGATAAGTAAGTAAAGTCAAATGGAGGTGACTTTACTCCCATTACTTGAGTATGCCTGCTTTGTCATTGACATTGTCATAAATCATTCCAATTTGTTATCCCACTAACAGTCAAGAAGCAGGGTATAAATAGGCCACATACATTAATAAAAATGTCCTTTTTTTCTTTTAGAATATATTTAACATTTTCTAACTTTAAATGAGACACGAAATCCCTCAACCATCAGGTTGATTACAGTTTTATCAGCTCTGGAAAAGCCACATTTTTTATGTAAACGTGCGCCTGATCATGTTTTTGGTTGAGCAGGGTGAGGAAGTTGAGGCACAAATGAAGAGGATTGAAGCCACTAAAGGTGTGATTGGAACGCTAGTTGTCGATCCAGATGGTAAGCAACACCAAAAAGCAGAGCAGTACTGCTCAGAATGATGCTCTGTCACTTTTTTTCACAGAGAGGAAATAAAATATTCATGGATGTTATAATTAGTTGAAATGGAAGAAAGTTAATAAAGGTAAAGGACAAAAATAATGGTCTGCGGCAGCTTAAAACCCTCTTTTGGTGTTAAAAAGTTACTGTTGGGGTTTTCCGAAGAGGCACCGTGTTAGTTTTGCAACAGATAGCTATCGACAGTTCATTTCAGTAAATAACTAGCAAGAGCAGCACAGATTAGTGGCTCCATGAAGGATTACAAGGGAGCAAGTTATTGCCTAACAAAAATAACACAGTGTAACTGCATGGTTAACACGTTTTCTTACACCAACACTGTTTGCCATTAGATCGTGAGCCCCCCTCCCCCCCATGTGTGTGAAGAACGATCCAAATCGCTCTGTGTACACACTGCTGAAAAAAGGTGTGAAGAGATGTTTTCATTTTGTAATGATCTCTGTGCAGAAATGCAGTTGAAAAGCTGAAATGCAGCTCAGTTTTGCTCAGTTTCAGTAAAATACTATTACTACAGAGGACCAGAAAGGGACTCAGCTCTAAATATTCTACATGAGGACAGAATGAAGTGTTACAGGACAGAGTGCTGTGCTCACAGCTTTGAGTCATCCACCCGCCACAAAGCACTTTCAGTGCTCAGTTAAAGTAGAAAAATGCCGTGTAAGTACCAGTCTATTTCCATTTAAAATTACACACTCTCTGATAACATTTAGCCTTCCCATTTCAAATAACTGAGCACTCTAACTGTCACAAACCCCCAAAACAATATGTCAGCTTTTACTATGTTAAATTTACTGTTAAACTGCTTTCAGTACCATAACCGATACCGTGCCTCTTCATTAAATCCCAACAGCTGCTTTTTAATGCCAAAAGATAGCTGTGCTCTAGAGGAGAGCATTAATAAATCTGGCCCATGGACACAGTTATTATTGCAGTTCATATGTATTTGGTTTCCCTTTCAGAGAACTACAGCGAAGCCACGGTACAAGATGCATTAGGCAACTGAGATATATATTTTTTAAATAATAGATTTGCAGTGTTTAGGATTTTTAGTCAAATTATGCAGTCATAAAGCTCTGCAACACCAAAAATCATTTTTATGTAGTTTGTTTTTCTCCTGCTCTCAGATCTGTAATATAGAACATTTAAATATCTGGGAAAATGCAACAGTTGAGAGAAAAAATTACTAAAAAAAATGAGAGCAGATTAATGTCTGAATTACAGTATTTAGTAGTAATTTTAAAAAATACATAACCTCACATGGCATACAGAAGAAAAAAATGTGTGCTTAGATCAAGTGTTAGAGTCCAGGTTTACACCGTGGAATAATAAATAATAATAATAATAATAATAATAAAGCAGCTCTCCTCTGGATGAATCCTGCGCTCCACCTGAGCTGTCACATACATCTGTAACTGTGACATTCAAAATTCACTAGAGAATAAGAGAGGGAGTGAGAGGGCCTCAAAGTTAGAGTGTGTGGGCAAGAGTCCCACAGGATAGTGTGAAACAGAGAGAGAAGACATATCCAGGGAGGAGGGAACTGAAAGCACCATGTAAGAACTGATGAAAATGGTCAGACAGATGACTTTATGTTTGTAAATTTAATCTGTTTGATCACTTTTGCTCAGTTATGCCTGATCAGTGTGTGTAAACAAGTAACAGCTCAAACATGTGCATGACTGATGCTCTCAGCTATTCAAATAGGAAGCACTAAACCTCTGCCAAAAAGAATATTTATCCAGGAAAATATTAAAAATACAGTCTGAATGTCTGATGAATTTCTGAATGAAGGAATTTCTTTTAAGGTGTTCCCATCAGATCAACTTTGGATCAGTCCATGACTCTACAATATGCAGGGCAACTTCGACAACTTGTGGCATTAGCCAGAAGCGCAGTCAGAGATATTGACCCTCAGAATGATCTCAGCGCCCTCCGAGTCCGCTCCAAGACCAATGAGATCATTGTTGTAACAGGTGAGTGTATATTAGTTAGGGTTTGTTGACTTAATGATTATCTGTGATAGGGATGTTAACTTTTGGCTCAGTTGTTTGCCTGCATTTCCATGGTTCAGCTTGTCTTTTATGTCTCTGCAGAGAACAACTATCTGGTGATAGGCATCCAGAAGCTTCCTGAGCCAGACGTTTCCATGGGCATGGGGGTAGGGATGTTGAGTGTGTTGCAGCACCACCTGCTAAGTGCAAAAAGAAAAAGAAAGAAAGACAAAAAAGTTTTAAAATGTTTTAAATAATATTTCTGTTGTTATTTATCTTTTCTGCCTTTAAATAACCAGGCACCATGGTCAAATTATGTCACATAGCCTTATCACCAGGTGCTACAAATGCATCTTTCAACTCACAATTGTACGAAAGCAAATTTTAGATTTATTTTTCAGTTTGTTTGTTTGTTTTTTGAATGATTAGCTTGTAAAAAGATCATAAAGGAGGAGCAGCAGATAGATGAGCTCCATCCTCATACTCATGGAGGCTGCAAACTCTTTAAATTGTCTCCGTGTGTATCAGTGTCTTCTTCAAAATCATAATTTTCCAACTTCCGGTCATGGTTATGGTCAACGAGGATGCCAAAGAGTATCACACATCTGTCCCAGATGAATGTTCTAATGGACTCTTTGAACTCATTGGACATTCATTCCCAGAATCAGGGAATTTATCACCTTAACCTCTGGATACTAAGTCACCTCTGGATTATTATATAATCCAATAATTGTCAAATACGGTGTATGCCTAGCATTGCATATCAGTAACAAATATTTTGAGAACCAATTACATGAAAAAATATGTTTTTATATCCACTATATGGGTCACTTTTTAACTGTTTCCGTCATATCAAATACAAATTACCCTTGAGGTAACGTATGTACACACATTCCACTATCTTGACATTGACTCACTATCCACATACTCCCAGTAGGTCTCAGAAACAGCTTCATTGCAATGATACTTTATTCGTCTTGTTCCTCGTCCTCTTTTTCCTCCTGCTGATCAGACTCTTCCTTATCCTCAGACAGGTTCTCCCTTGGGACTAGAGTATCCTGGTTGGCTACAGAAGGAGTGAAGTGATGGCTATTGATGTGTGCACTCTGAAAGACATGGATGAGATGAATGTTTCAGCTGAGAGAAGAAAAGAAGGAGGCAAAATAACAATGTCTGTCCTTGAAGCCATTTTTAATCACATCATAAGAAGACCACATACATTGTGAGGCTGTGCACACTGTCACCACTAGATGGCAAGACAGCGTTATTTTTTTCAATTCACTGGTGACACGTTTAAATGTCTTGGATAAATAAACTAATACTCGTCTCGAAATGTTTTGGTGCAACTTAACATTCACTGACATCATGGATTTCATCCAGGGAGATGTACACTTCTGTATGCCTGACTAAGATCTTTGGGCTTCACGTCTATGATGATCAACACCAGGAAGTGCAGAAGAAACGTTTATGTCAGAATGAATAGAATTAAAGCGAACTGATGTCCATAAACATGCAAATTAATAAAAGGGAAAAGCAAATCAGTTACATTCCAGGTTGGTACAGTACCACTTGATGAGCTCGCTGATATTTTTCAAGAACAGGTTCTCAAAGTTGTCATTGTCCAAGAACCACACTGTTTCTTGTCATCCTCAAAAAATGAGACTGAGGAAAGAAGGTGCTGGCACAATGAGTTAAAGTATATATTCACTTTTGATAATTTAGGTCAATACTGTGCTGGAGCAGTAATAACACATGAGTAAAGGCCTGATTTTATGTATATTTTTTCATCTTAAACTGGTACACCACAATGATTGCTTAGTTCAAGAAATTACTCCTACAACTACAAAATAATGTCATGCTTTAAGATGAAAAAACAAACAAACAGAAAAAAACAATACCAAGTAAATACAGGTCCATTATTGCTAATACAATACCAATACTGATACTTTTACCCTATAAAGTGTCAAAATACAAAATATATTTTAAGTTTATTTTGTATTTTTGATTTCTTATGTTAAGTTCCTGTATTGTTATTATTAGTTAGGGTTTAGGATTAGGATTCAACTTTATTGTCATTACACATGTATAAATACAGGGTAATGAAATACAGTTTGCATCTAACCAGAAGTGCAAGAGCAGTAAGTGCAATAAGAGCAGATTATATACAGATAAGTTAAGTGGAGAACAAATATACAGATATATATATATAGATAAGGGCAGGATAAATGGTGTAATAGTTATGAACAGAATTATGTACAGAGAGACCAAATATACAGATGAGCTACAGACAAATGTACACTGTGTATACATATGTATACTGTTGTATACATATGTACAGATATACAGATGGCCTGTATAGCATACAGATGTTCTACATTGCTATACAGATGGGCAAATATGCAGATGTACTATGAACAAATACACAGATGCGCTACATAAATACATACATAGATGTACCGGTGTGTGGCAAACAGACCTACAGAGTGCTATGAATATATCTACAGTAGTGGAAGCGTAGCACTCTGAACTGACTGTAATAGTGAACAGCGTACGCATTATAACAGAGACTATGTATGTCAGTGTCCTAAAATCTATAGCCGTAACCAATGTGAGAATATGGTGAATGTTGAGAATGAATGACAGCAATGATCGTGGTCACTAGGAGGGATAAGTGGAGGAGTGTAGAAGGATTGAGTGAGTGTGGATGAAAAGGTTCAGCAGGGGACTGAGTTCAGTAGGGTGACAGCTGTGGGACAGAAGCTGTTCCTAAACCTGCTGGTTTTTGTCTGAAGGGTCCTGTAGCGCCTTCTGGAGGGGAGGAGCTGGAAGAGTATCTTGGCAGGATGAGAGGAGTCCCTGAGAATGATGTTTGCTCAGCGTAGACATCTATTCTTGTCGACATCCTCAGTGGCAGGAGGTGGAGTCCCTGTGATGCACTGAGTGGTTTTCACCACCTGCTGCAGTGCCTTGCGGTCAGCAATAGAGCAATTTATGTACCAGACTGTGACACAGTTGGTCAGGATGCTCTGGGTGAGTTTTAGTCTTTATGATTCACCCGTGTCTCCTTGTTTATTAGTCTTTTTCTGTTTGTCACGTGTTATCTCCTTGTCTATGTAGGTTCCCTTTAAACGTGTTAAAATGTTTTAAGTAATATTCCCATTATTATTAATCTAGGAAGTTTTAATAAATAGGTAATAATACTGAATATGTCTTTGCTCTTAATAGCCAAGCATCACGGTCAAATAATGCTACATATCTTAGATGCAGTTGGTTAGAAATTAAAAATTGCAGTCAAACAAATCTATTTTTTGAAAGAAAGAGCAGCAGATTGATGATCTCCATAGTCATGCTAATGGAGGCCCGCAAACTCCTGGAATTGTCCCTCTGTGTATCAGTATTCTCATCCAAATCATTTTCCAACCTGTGGTCATTAAAAACATGGTAACGATTCACCAGTTAGTTTGAATCCCCTTCTTATCTTAAAGAGAGTGATCTGTTTTAGCCAGAAGTTCAAAAAAGTATTCATAAGTTTTAGAAAAGTAAAAGCAGTCATTTGCAGTGGGGAAATATTGTAGTATAATCAAAGCCCATCTACCCACTTGACTAAAATTGCTTAGGTGTTATCAAAAAAAGCATGTGATATAAGAGTGGTGCAAGCTCTAAGTGTGAACTTGCATCAAATCATGCCTGATGATAGCAAAACTAAAAGTAATCATTTCTATCTTATGTGCACAGCTTTTAGTTTGGCTAAACCTGTCAAATAAATGTCAAGGCAGAAATTTTCCTTCAGGCAAGAAATATAAAGCGACATATAACATAACAAATACTTTGTGCTTGTGTTTTGAAGTTGAAACATTTTTGTCAAGATGAGAGAGAAGAATCAGTTTAGGATCACACTGCGCTGCAGAACACAGAAAATGTTTCTGTTTTTATGGATGTGAAATTGAATCGCATGTTATGGTCTTCACAGTCACTGCACGGAATGCAGTTAAAGACTCTTTTGCTGATTTTGGAGCATCAGGTCATACAGCATGTTCAAATGTGGTCATCAAAACCTCCCAATCGTGAAAAATCTTTTCAGGAAAATCTCTTGTGTTATTTTTTTTTTTAAAATGAACTGAGATAGGGTTTGTTGACTTAATGCTTATCCACGGTATAGTATTTATTCCATACCATAGATTATTATGCCATCTTATCTGAGCTGGAGACCACGTAGACCCTTTAAAAACAAAAAAAAAACAGAGACCAGAGCTCATTTTTCAAAAACTGATGTCTCTGTAATTCTGGGACTAAAATTTTTTTAATATATGACAAGTACATTACTAAGTACAGAATGGGAAATAGGTGCAATAAATGGAAGTAGGCAGAAACATACAATTCTAAAAACCTTGAAAGTTAATATTTGGTATGACCACCTTTATTCTCCAGCACAGCCTGTGTTTCTTTTGTAATTTCTTGAACCAGTGTTCAGGAATAGCTCTCTGGGCTTCTTGAAGGACATTTAAAGGTCTTCTTTGGATGTTGTTGCATTCTCTGTTGCAATGACGCCATACTGCTTTATTAATACTGAGGTCTGGGCTATGGGGAGGCCAGTCCATGACTGATGTTGATCCATTATGTGTTTGTGATGCTTTCCAGATGGATCAGTATCTGAATGTACTTTTCTATGTTCATGATACTGTCAGTCTTCACAAGATCTCCAACTCCACTGGCTAAAATGCAGTCGCAAACCACAAAAGAGCCTCCACCGTGTTTTACAAATGGGTCACACTCACAGTTGTACACATTTCCTGATCTACTTCATACATATTGACGATTTGAGCCAACAATTTCAAATTTGGATTCATCACTTCATAAAACCTGTTGCCACTGATTTTCAGTCTAATTCGTGTGTAATTTGGCATCTCAGCCTTTTTTCATGATTTCCCTTCCTTGAGGCTGCCTTCTTGACAGCCACCTTTCCAGTGAGACCATTTCAGATGGTCAGTGAACAGCAGATAGTAGATCGAGTCGAATCTCAGGTTCTGTGTCAGGTCATTGCTGGATTTTGTTTTCTATGGACATGACTTACAGATACTGTTCTTTTCTCCTCCACTTGTTTCAGTTTCATTTACGTACTTCAGATTTGTTAATGACACACTACAGACCCTGATAAGATATGTCAAGGTTTTGGCTAATAGCGCTCTGGAAATCACCTTGTTGATCAAACTTATCTTTGTTACTAGCAGCCTGTCACAAACAATGCCAAAGTGCATACATTTAAAATTGGTTCCTTGATTAGTTGTTATGTGTAAACATAACACTAGTTCATCCCTTGAGTTAGGTGACTGGTGTAATAACTCATGGGCCAGTGTTAAGTGGTTGGTACAAGGACTAAATTAAAAGTGAGTGAAAAAGTAGCCAATAATTAAAGAAAAACCTTTAGAAAGTCTGGTGAATTGTTGCTTGAGAGTACTTTAAAAGCATTAAAACAAAGTCTGGCTCTTTGGAAGCAAAATATGAAGAAATGAGGGGAGTATCAAGACGTTTACACCGTACTAGATATCAGGGCTTTTTTTTCCTGTGCAGACATGCCTTACACTAATGATTAAAAAAGAAAAATCCAAACGGTATCCGCTTCTGTCGTTTAAATCCCAACACTGAGGCAATAAAATATCAGGTGAAGAAATGACTAAGGGAGGGCATGCTGTGAGCAGCACATTGATGCGGACTATTTTTAAACCTAGCAATCACAGCAACTGAGAGTGCCTCCTTAAGTGCATGTTAAAGTCTGTTATTAAAACTTGGTAATGCTATCCTTTCAAATATAACCACCAGGTCCACAGGAGATGTTCGCTGTCTGAGAATTACAATGATTAAATCCATTCATAATAATTACGGAGGACACAATTTGTATGCAAACTTCGAAGACCTCCAAAGGATTGGGAGTTTTATGTTGCTGCTCTCGGTTTGTTTTGTTTTGTTTTGTTGAGCTATGGAGGGTCAGACATAATGACATTTTAATCAGCTACTCTGTGTAAGACCACTTGCTGAATAAATGCAAACACAGACCTCTGATAAATATTTCAGAGAAGTAAAAACTCAGATATGCAACAATAACAGTGAGGAGTTTTTACAAGTATTTTAATGTAAATTTACACCCGAATTTACAGCAATATACCGTATGTTAATAAATAATTCATTGCCATTATACAGCCCAAATAATAAATTACATAACAACGGATTGAAGCAAATAGGCAAGATTTCACAGCAGGTTTGCAGAGGAGACGGAAAAAGTGACGCAGGACGATCAGGTGAACTGGAGGGGAGGGCGGGATTGCTACGGTGCTTGTG